TAATTAAAAACATCTTTTTAAAAAAAGTAGTAAGAGCTTGAAATTTTGTGGTTGATTTTAGCTTGTATGCACTGTACAGATAATTCGACAAAGACCTTCTGCATTCTGCATGTTTTTCCCGCGGTCATTTTACGGGATTTAGGAAAAATCTAAGGTGAAAAGCATGTCTGTGCGTCAAAAAACCCCGGCGTTTTTTTCTTTACTCAAGAATAGAGAGACTAGTCCACTTACAAAAATATGTATTTTCGGTGGCTTTTTTTTAAACCTAAGTGCGTGGTACAATTAATGACATGTGAAAATCGGAAAATAAAGTAAAGTGAAATATGCACGATATAAACTTCCTTTTTCGCATTTCACAATTCTTATCATATACAACGTGGTGGTTTTTTCCAAATAACCAAAAGTAGGGTGGTATACGTATATGATTTTAGTATATATGATTTTAACTAGTATCAAGATCAACCAATCAGAAGAAAGAAGTTGATTCGTTTTTTATGCAGATCTTTGATTAAAAAATTAACGAACGCTCAATTAACAACAAAAATGTCACGTACCTCACACATTCAAAGAGTATTGGAGCAACCCACATTTAATAAAGTGACACAATGTCGTGTTTTACTGGTTGGTGCTGGAGGAATAGGCTGTGAGTTGTTAAAAAACCTAGTACTCTCAGGTTTCAGATCTATTGAGCTGGTATACCGTTCTTTTACCGCATGATACGTAAGACTTTCTTGATACAGTTTTAAAGAATTTCCTTATACACAGGTTGACCTTGATACCATTGACGTTTCAAACCTTAATCGACAGTTTTTATTTCAGAAGCAACATATTAATAAATCTAAGGCACAGGCAAGTGAATTTCATATAATTTTCCATTATCATTTATTAACGCTTTGAATATCTCTAGATTGCGCGTGATTCCGCATTAAAGTTTAATCCTGATGTTGAAATCATTGCACACCATGCAAATATCAAAGACTCTCAATTCAATGTTGAATGGTTTCAAAGATTTGATATTGTGATGAATGCATTAGATAATCTTGGTAAGCTGTATTAAGATGGTAAGATGTTTAAACATAAGAAATATTCACGATTCTACTTTTAAATAGAGGCAAGAAGACATGTAAATTTTATGTGTCTGGCTGCAAATGTGCCGCTTATTGAATCAGGAACCGAAGGATATTTAGGGCAAGTCACTGTAATAAAAAAGGTATTTTTATTTTCTATATATTTTCTATATATTTTTTTAATAACTTTCTAATCTCAAATTCTATGTAGGATTTAACTGAATGCTATGATTGTCAACCCAAGCCTACCAGGAAGACTTACGCTGTTTGCACGATTCGAAGCACTCCGAGTAGCCCCATTCATTGTATTGTTTGGGCTAAAAGTTATCTTTTTAGGTTACGTGGTTAATTATACTTTTTTTACTGGATTCATACGATTTTTACAAATTTTGTTAACAATTGACTTTTTATTTCTAGTCAATTGTTTGGCGAGCCAGAAGACGAACCTTTGGATAATGAGATGAACAACGATAATGGTATAAAGATTCTATCATAGTATATTTTATTTTATAATAAGTCATTAATCATTTTTCTGTAATCCCGATTTAAAAGCTGAAGAAATTCAAATTCTCAAAAAAGAGACCGAGCTGCTGAAAGAAATTAAATTGACGATGGGATCTCAAGAATATGCTGAAAAAGTTTTTAAAAAAGTATTTACAGATGATATTGAGCGTCTTCTGACAATGGAAGACATGTGGAAGGAGCGAAGGCCTCCAGTGCCTTTAGCATATAACGATATGAATAGAGTATCATCGAATGGAGAGAACGGCCTGGATCACAATGATGATATGAACACTCTCAAAGATCAGCGGATGTGGACCTTTGAGGAAAATTTTAATGTATTCGTAGATAGGTCAGATTTGAATATTTCGAAATCTTTATGGAGGACTAAACATCGAGACTACTCGTACTACAATGATTATTTAGTCTTCCAAAAACGGCTCTCATAAATATATTGACTATCGTATAACCTTTTTTTTATTCTTATGTTATAAACAGCATTAATCGAATAAGTAGGCGATTACTCGAAGAACAAGAAATTAACCCGGTTGCCGTGCTTACATTTGATAAAGATGATGATGATGCTTTGGATTTCGTAACAGCAACGGCTAATTTGAGAGCCAAAGTATTCGGAATAGAACAAAAGTCAAGATTTCAGGTTAAAGGTTAGCTATTTATTAAAAATGACTATATATAATTAGATGAATTCTCAAAATTTTTATAATTAATCAAATGATAAATCAGCTATGGCGGGAAATATAATACCAGCGATTGCAACAACAAATGCTACAATTGCCGGAATTATAGTTGTGCAGGCTTTTAACATACTAAAAAATCGTTTGGAAGATTGCAAAACGGTAATGACCGTTCTTTTAGCAATTCATCCATCTCGAATACTAATCTTTGATTCTCGATCGACATACAGACATATTTGGATGGATTTAGACGCCCTTGTCTGCTCATCAACGAATCCTTAAACGGGCCAAATCCATCTTGTTCGCAATGTAGAGTTAATTATTACATATTACGAATAAACACGAAAAAGGCAACTCTTAAAGATTTCTTGGAAAAGATTTTAAATAGTAGCCACGAACAAGGATTAATTTATGGTGACGAAATAACAGTAGAAAGAGGCGCCAGGTTTGCTACGAAAATATGCCTTTTGCTTTGATTGTGTAATAGTTTTTTTTTTTAACCATTTTGTGATTATTCAGCATCATATACGATATTGAATTTGATGAAAAACTTGATTCCACCTTTGAACAATTAGAAATCACAGATGGAGTTTTCATTAAAGTAACACCTGATGATGCGAATCAACTTCCTGCTGTTTTTAGCATTTTCCATAGGTATAACAATTCATCTACTTTTTTGAGCTCTGTAGATACTGACAGACTTTTATTATCCTTTGTATATAGGGAAACCTTCGATACACAAGATACTTGGTATGAAATCGAAGGAGGTATTTCTGAGGCTCGTGTTTCTCATATTGTGGCAAGCAACCAAAACACAGAGACTGAAAGTGGGACAACCCTTAAGAGAAAACTCGAGTCAACTGATATGGACCTTGATGAGCAACCATCTACATCGTGTAAAAAGATGGAACTAGATCCAGAATATATTATTACAGTAGAAGACAGCATAATAATGACAGAAGATGGGCCCAAAAGTGTTATAACTCTTGATTAAGAGAGCGCTTCAATTAGTAACAGAATAATGCTTATAACTACTAATTCGTTTGATTTTACCTAGTTAACTAGCGGGTAAAAGAAAAGACTTTACAAGACGATGCAACAATCGTTTGATCTTATAAATCCTTATCAATCAAATAAGAAATAAATACGAAACTTTCTTATGTCTAAAGGAAAATATCAGCGTAAATTTATTTGCTCATGGAATTATTTTTAATTTTGGGGACTTCAACAATTCAAATGATATTCAAAACAAAACAAAACAATATTCTGTGTCACCATTAGATTTTAATCGCTCGCTATCATATGAATTCATGTGATTGTAAATAATAATAATATGGACAGATACTGTCATCCTTTGAGTGACAGTATCAATATTAATCACACAAATTCATTTAATCAGGCGATATGATTATATAATTATTTCACTCAATTATCACAAGTTAAAAATAATTCATTTAAGAATAAGAATTGCAAAAACCACAGAAAATACTTACCTTGGGAGGATTTTACAAGTATTCGTCCGTTCGATCGTTCTGTCCGTTTTTACTAAAGAATGCAATAATAGATTTTGATCACAATATAAAGATGATGATGACTAAAATTATTGCAAGGAATCGTATTGGTGTATGTGACTACGACGATAAATTGAATATTGTAATGGACGCGGAAACTACAAAAAATTTTGCTGACATTAATTGCCGGGGTTGCATTTTTGAACAGTTGCAATTGAGACGCGTCCCGCTAATGATGATGAAATGTTTTATTTGTTGAAGTGTGTTTGTGTATGTGCTGTATGTAGTAGTAGTTAGCTGTCACAGGGTGAGATGTAGTACAAGTCGAAGTTAATGATGATGATGATGGATGATGGTGTATGTATTGTTTGATTGTGCCTTTGCTGTAATTACTGAAGCTAAGTTGAGAGAGATGAAATGTGTGTTGTAAAAGAAGCGTGCGAAACTCAATAGTAGTAGACCTAATTTCTGTGTCGAACGCGAAAGATAAACAATGATACTGCAAAAATTAATAAACTAAAAAACAAATTAGAAATTATACACTGCTCATTTTCTATAGGTAGTACACAATGAGCAAATATAGTCTGCCCAATATTCGACGAAAATTTGTCAGTGATTCTTTCTTTTTTAATAAGGTGATCGTGGACGTGTATATGGATCATAACGGGCTGCTGGTGGCGGTCGGCGATCTCGCTCATAAGCTCTGTCGTAGCTTCGATCATAACCTCGTTCATAACCTCGGTCATAACCTCTGTCGTAGTAAGGCCTATCATATGCACGATCATAGTAAGGATCCCGGCCATAGCCCCTCGGAGGTCTTTCATAGCGATCATAGGATCTGTATTCATATCTAGGATCAAATCGATCGACTCGACGAGGCTCTATATAAATTTATTCATTTATTTATTTATAAATAAGAAATATAATATAGACTATTCTATTTGATTTGCAGAAAGTAAAATCTCAGAATAGAAAATAGAGATTTGAATACAATACCTCTTCGTTTTGGTGGTCCATAATATCGACCAGGAGTTGGAGTCCTAGCCTTAGAACGACGCGCCTTATAGCATTACAAAAAAGAAGGCAATTAATACACAAATTTATAACACTAACATTTTGGGAATATAAATTAGCAAAAAATTGAAACTTACTTTCTCAACAGTCACAACACGTCCATGAATTTCTGTACCACTAACACCCTCTTTGGCAGCATCAGCTTCATCAGTAGTGTCCATAGTGACAAAGCCGAAACCACGCGATTCACGAGTGTGAGGATCGTACATGATTTGCGCTTTAGATACCTGTAAATTTACAAATCAGATATTTTTTTTTAAAAAAAAAACAATCAAAATCTATGGAAAATCATTGTAGAAAAAAGTTACCTTGCCAAATTTAGAAAATACTTCTTCTAGATCACGATCTTCGGTCCTAATCGAAAGGCCAGTAACAAAGAGATTATTGCCAGGATTGATATCATCTTCCTCCGAACTTCTACTATTACAAGCAATGTTAAAAACTGACATTGTAATAGTAAATGATTAAAATCTTAAAAATCTTAAACAACTAATACCTTCTTTCACGGGGAGAGCGGGAAGACCTGCGTGGAGACCGTGAGCGAGATCTACTCGCTGGACTTCTCCTGTCATCACGTCGATCACTATGACGATCTTCGTGTCTTTCGTCGTGATGACGGTCCCTGTGTCTATCCTCACGTTCTTCACGGTGCCTGTCTTCAGGTATATGCCGGTCACGATGTCTTTCCTCATGTCCTCCCTGAGAAAAGCTATCCGAGCCATTTTGAGCTGCAAAGAAAGAAAAATTATTTATACCGTCTTTTTTTCATTTCCAATTAACTCCAAAAATGTGCTTACCATCAGCTTCACTCATGTTAAAGACAGCGAATTTTATAACAAGTACAGTATATAAGAAAAAAAGAATGCGAAAAAAAGTTAACGCTAGAGTAAAATTCTTTGACTAAATTAAAAATCCTTCGGATAAAGGTAGACAGAATGGCTTTTTGGAACGTCGTGAAATTTGATAGGAGCAATTAAGAAGCAATACTAATTATGCCGGAATCTTTTCCGTTATATTCCTTACTCGGAACTGATCATCGATTATGGGAAAGCCGAGCCACACACTTTCACATGATTGTTTCGAGTAAAAAAATTCTTGACGCGACATGTATCAAAAATATCGTGATGCAGTATTTTGCGTCTCTTTGCCACCTTAATAATAATCCTCTTATCAAAGGAAACATATGTGTTTTACAGGAATTTTTTCGAGTGAAAAAATTTAATTATTTGAAGTTAAATAAACGTCTTTGTTTAAAGGAAAACCAGCAGCACTGCTACTATACTTTTTCTTGTCTTCGAGTGCATAACAGAGTATTAAGACCCTTTAATTCATTATTTAATAAGGAAGTTACATGTTTTTTCAATTATCGATCATGGCCAGTTCTGTTTGATTCTCGGGTGAGAATTTTTCCAGAAAAACATTTGAGCACATCAAGCCATGTAGTAGAAGCAGACGAACATATATCATTAGCGAAAATAAGTGAATCGAGCTTGGTTCCCGAATCAGAAAACATTGAATCCTTAGGATTGCCTTCAAATGTCATACAAGAGATTAATAAATCAAGCAGTGATGCAGAACAAAGCAAAAATTCAAGCATTGATTTAGAACGTGAAGCGAATAATAATCTAGAAGAAAGTCTTCTTCCTAATCATGACCCGGATGAATCGGGATTATATGTTAAAGAGCCATTAAATAGGTATCACCCGTATATTCTGACAATGCAATTGGCTATCAATCGTGAAAAGCATAAGCCTACAGGTCCAGAGATGCTAAACATATTCCTAAATATACTTAGTGTTCCTGGTCTGGTGAAATATGTCATGCCACAAGAGATTGAAAAAATGATGATAGGTATTGGAAGAATGAGGCGTCTTGGATTATATGAATTATTAGTGGATGAAGGAGTTGAGCTTACACCTTTTGCCTATACGAAAATGTTCATCACCTATCTAAAGACTCATAATGGTCGAAAAGCAGGTGAATTGCTCGAGAAAATGAAATTGCTTGGAATTGAGCCTGATGCTTTTCAATACAATAACGTGGTGAGAACGAAAATCGAGAATTGTCGAGATCATGACGTGGAAAATGCATTACATTACTTTGATGAAATGACGTCAAAGAGATATCAACCTGAATTTCCTCTGTATTCAGCTGTAATTCATAGGCTTGTCGAATTACGTAGAATTAATGAAGCGGCAAAGTTATGTTTTGAGATGGTCTCGAAGGGATTGACTGCAACTGATACAGTTCTTTCTGATGTTAACTTTTCGGATATATTAGATGACCGAGGAAACATTATTAGTGATGGTAGTAGTGTCCCAAAAGAAGAGGAAGATAATGAAAATAAAATGAATAAAATGGAAAAGGCATTAATAAAGACAATTTATAATATTTTAGTTCGAACTTTGATCAGTAGAGATAAATTAATCAGAGCTACAAAGTTTTACGTTTTTTCACAACAAATTACGCGTAGTCCACCGGATGTTCCACTTTTGGAACTGTTAATCGAGTCCAGCATTAAATTCTCAAGATATGACATTGCCTTGAAAGTACTGGATACTCATTGGAAAGATCATGATATTTCATACTTGTATGTGAGAATGATCAAACATTGCGTGAAATTAAATCTGCTAAAAGAAATAGACGAGTTTTACATGCAAACCAGAAGACTAAGAATTTTGCTACCCAATGATCTTTATCCATTTCTTCTTACAAAATATCTTGATCGAGGATTTTTAAGGGAAGCAATTCAGACTTATTTCGATGGGAGAAAAAGAATGATAAGATTTGATATTGATATCTATAACAAGTTATTGAAAGGCATGAGGGAAGATCAGACTCTTAAAGACTTTATCGTTCAAGACATGATAAATGCTAAAAAGAAACCCACTACGGATACTTATCATGCTTTTATGGAACTGGCGACTTCAAAAAAAGAAACAAAATCAGCAATGAAAATTTTTGATTTCATGACAAAATCTAAACATGAAATACAACATATCACTTATCGACAATTGCTTAAAGGGTTCGCAGGAATTGGAGATATGAAAGGCGCCAATAGAATATTTGATTCTATGTTGCAATCTTCTTTCAAGCCTACAATTGTTGACTATAACCTAATGTTATACGGATACAGTCAAATTTCAGCGGACAGTGCCAAAAACATATTTCTTGGAATGGCAGAAGCTGGCATTGTGCCTGATGTGACTACTTTTTCAATATTGATTGCTGCTTATTTGGATGCCGGTGACGTAGCGAAAGCTTTTAGTTCATACGAGGAAATGAAAAAACGAAGAATAAAGCCAGATGTGCGAATTCTAAACGTAATTATTAATCATCTCTTAAAGACTGTTGGAGTACATGGCGCGACAAAATTTTTTTTCGATCAGTATAAACAAATGGAAATTGCACCGCAGTTTAGTACTCTAATGATTCTCTTGCGTGGAGCTTACCGAGAGCAAGATTTAGACTTTACTTCGTTATTTTATCGAGAGATGAGAAAATTCGGGTTCACCTTACAAAATAACTTTTTCTATATGGATCTTTTGGAATTTTTTTTGTCGAATAATCAAATTTCAGAAGCGAATATAGTCCTCGAGGATATCGATTATTATCGTATTGTTAGCAAGCTTAATTTTGATAAGGATAATTTGGCAGAGCGGAAGTATCGTGCCAGAATGCGAATAAAGCAAGCATTGTCAGATAATAATACCAAAGCTGCGTTAGCTTTTTTACAAGAGCTGAGAGAGGAGGAAAAGAAGGGGGAAAACCAAACTAAATAAATAAAAAATAAACAAAGACGAGGAATGGAAAAGGATGACAATGATCATATTGAGGAAGCTGAAAATGAAAATTCGACTAGTCATTATGATTAGCTTTATAGCACCGATATCATGATCGATTTATTTATTCGAACGGTCATCGAGTGAAATAATTCACATGTATATATATATATATATATATATATATATATATATATATATATATATATATACTCGAAGGATCCAATATTTTGATGATTAGCAGAGGACTAACCTGATCCATGAATCAAAACATTATTAGACAGTTATATAGAAGTTATATATAGATGTATTACATTTTGTTCAACTTCAATTTTATTTATTTACAATATCCGCATTACAATATGTAAATCATTTAACTCAAAATGTCCAAATAGCTATATGCAATTAGATCCAATAGATTAATAAAGTTATCACAAACATCACCGACTGCTGCTTTGACTCGTGCTTCTAGAATAAGATCGTCGATCTCGACGATACCTTTCTTTACTTCGACTTCGACTGATTGAGCAAGGACGATACCGATCCCTACTCCATCTAGTGGAGCATTGACCTCTTCTGTTTCTGCTTATGCTCTTGCTTCGACTTCAGCTTCTACTTCGACTAATTTGTCTTCGACTATCACGAGCCCGATTCTGTATGGAAGCGCCGAGCGGGATTGTGATGAACGTGATCTAGAGCGAGAACGACGATATCTATTGCGACCTAAATAGGGAATTTGGATGCATTGTATATAATAAAAAAGATGTCTGTCAATTCATAATATAATTATAAAGATCTAGATGCAACATTATATTTACCTCGTTCATTCCTAGAAACAGATACAGATCTACTTCGACTTCTATTTCTGTTACGATTTCTGCTAGGGCTTATACTTCTATTTTTGCTCCTGCTCCTACTTTTACTCCTGCTTCTACTTTTACTAGCAGTACATATTTATTAAAATTATATAAAAATTTAAAAAAGTGAATTTAAATTCAATGAGAAACAATCTCACTTATATATTAATGCAATATCATATTTGTAAAATAAAAGCACTAACACCAGGATCTCTCACTTATATATCAAAGAAACAATAATACCAGGATCTTTCAAAGAAACAATGATACCAGAATCTCTCACTTATATATCAAAAATATAATGATACCAGAATTTCTTATTTATGTACTAATATAGTTATACTTAATTATATGATAAAGTAATAATACCAGGATCTCTTTGTAATAATGTATAGGATCTCTCAATTATGTATCATAAATGGGAATGGATCTGTTAAAACTATTGTAATGTGTTAGTTTAACAGATTTTAGTACTAGATTTAATGTGAATTAATGTTATGTCAAGATAGCTAAATTTAATTATAACATGAATTATTAGCTAACAGATAATAAAAGTATTTAAATATAAGCTATGTATGCTTTTTTTATTAGGTTAAAGATGCAAATTTCTTTAAATATAATAATAAATATGATTTTAATAATTTTTTACAGAGTATTTATTGACAAGTATACTTTATTAATAAAAATAATAAATTATTAAAAATTGTATATTTTCAAAAGTAACTTGTTTTCAAAGTAATTTTATTAAGTTATTAATTGAACTAATTGCTACAATTTATTTTTTTACAACTATAAAATAGTTATATTTATATAGATTAAGTATTATATTAATAATTGCTAATAACAAAAATAATAGTAATAATAATAATAAATAATTATAATAATTATAGTAATTATAATCTAAAAAATTTCCAAATTTAATTTGTATAATAGATTATATTTAGAAGATTATTTATTATATTATATTATATATATTATCTAATTGATCCATATAAATTCATTCATAAACTTTATATATTAAATTTTACATGAAAAAATATGATAAGTTATTGTAAAAATATGGTTTTAGCTACTTAATTTTATAATTAATTAAAGTTTTTTTATAATTAATATTGTTATATAGTAAAATTATAAAAATATGAATAAATATTATATCAAAATAGTTATAATATAAATTGTTAACTAGTAAATAATATTATAATAAAAGTATTTATTAAATATAATTTGTATAATATTATTATGATAATATTAATATATGTAAAATAATCTTGCTTTTTTATTTACTAAATAAAAATATATAAAAATTAAAATTATAATAATAGTTATTTTATTAATAAAAATAATAAAAATGTCAAAAATTATTAAAATTTTATATTTTCAAAAATAATATATTTTCAAAATAATTTTATTAAGTTATTAGTTGGACTAATTACTATAACTTATTTTTTTTATAATTATAAAAATAATTATATTTATATCTAATTTACATTAATTAAGTATTATATTAATTATATTAATAATTATTAATAACAAAAATAATAGCAATAATAACTAAAGATAATGCTTTAACTAGTTATAGCTTGTGAAAGTCAATCAAAAAATTATAATATAATTATAACTAGTTATAATCCTTATTACTAATAATAATAATAATATTATTATTATTATAATAATTATAGTAATTATAATAATTATAATAATTATAATAATTATAAAATTATAAAAATTACAAAAAATTATAAGAAATTATAAAAAGTTATAATAATTAATAAGTCATATATTAAAATCACATGAAATTTATTTAATAAGAATTTAATAAATTAAATAATTAAATAAAAAATAATTAAATTAAATAAATTTAATTATTAAAATATTAAATATAATAAAAGTAATTAAATAAATATATTATAAAATATTTTGCTTGTAATAACATCAAGCACTAGTAAAATTATATTTATCACTTTTTCTTTATACTTTGTTATTTTTTGTTCTAATTCTCTCATTATTATCAAAAATTTCTTTTAATATACAATAATATTCTTTTGTTCATATCTATTAAAGTATATTTCTTGTTAATATCTCTTAAATTAATACATCAAATTATTTAATCATTTTCTATTATTTATAAACTAATTATTTTTTTGATTTTAACACATTTAGAAAAAATAATATTTTTTAATGTATTAAATTAAAAGATATTTATTTTATTTATTCCAGATTTATTATTAATATTATAATATAATATCTTCATTATTAATAAGTTACTTATATTTTTGGTATTAATCATATTATAAAAGTGAAAATGATTTATTATATAAATAAGATTTAGTCAAAATATGAATTCATTTAGCTGTATATAATTTTGGCAAGATATAGATAATATTCATAGCTTTCTTACTTATCTATATTTTGTCATTACTATTATCTAAT